ATGGAGAGGTATCAGCGGGGGCAGCTACGGGAGGGCTGAATGGGAATGTCACTACCGGGTAGGATGGAATGGAAGTGGAAGGGGGTACTTGATTCGGACACGAGGAACGGATGGGTATGATAACCGGAAATCTAGGCCTTTTGTTTTTCGTTTTCTCGGGGTTGGCTCCTGGGTACAAGGCGGAGGGAGGCGGTGGGATGGGGGTTCAATCTCTGATGATATCCAACGGGAAGGTGAGGTTTGGCGTCGCAAAGCAGGCAAAACACGCGGTAATACTGCATCTAAGTGGCGGCGTACGAGGAAGGAATGGAGGCATTTGTTTGTCTGATGAAGAAGAAGAAAAACATCACGGTTACTATGTGCGGACACGAAACGCATCTCATTTCATCACTATACCAACTCCACAAAACATCACCACTATACCAAAATAAAATACCTTGCGCAATAGCAGAAGAGTCAACACTTGACAAAAAAGCTCAGGCGTTGGTTCGAACCCTATCCCTACGAAAAACCAGCGTCCCAGTTTATTCATCACCCGTTTAACCACCAGGCTACGTGGCCCCAGCAAGCTTGCGCTGTACCGGGGAGACGCTCCTTCCTTCGAATCTGTGTCCTATGTACCCTCTGGCCGAGGTGGGAATACCGTCAGGTCCTGGTGGAATACGATTCAGATGCTTGTAGGCAGGTGCGGAGGCCTGGACCTTCCATCCCTATGCATTTATCCAAGAATCATGGCCATCAATCAGTGAGTGACATTAGGAAGCCATATCTGATATTGCCATCCTAAAAAGTCAGAAACTCAAGTGATTTAGGAGATTGACACCGTTGGGTAACGAGCGTCAGTTACGACATAGGTACCTTAGGTAGCTACAGTCAACCAGGAGTTCAGAGGCCACGCATCCTAGAGTTCTAGCTCCTCCAACGCTATTAGCTGTTTAAACGTCGTCATCTTCGACATTCCTGCGATCCCCTACGCCTTGGCTATCTCACTGCTTTTGTCTCCTTCTCTCCCTAGTCCTTTTCGTGTTCCTTGGACTTTCTTGCTCCTCCACAGCGCCTCGCTTCTCTGATATGCGGAGATGAGCTCCTGATCGCAGGAAAGTGACGGCACTTTCAAGCTCGTCAGCACTGGCTAATAACACCGTCTTGCACCAAGCTTCAGCCTTTCTGAACGACTCGTTTTCAGCGGGGATCTTAGCCAAGACGCGTGCAAAAACTCTTGTAAGGAACTCATCGCCGCACAAGCCCGTCATCGTAGGCAGTGAGAAGTTGGCCCAAGACTGGCACACGTCCCAAAAGTTGAACTTCTCTTGCACCGAACTTTCTCCGTTGGTTTTTGTAAGCGACACTCTGGCCACAGTAACATTTTCGAGCGTCTCGAAACCATCCAGCATTGCAAATAGAGTCTCCTCGTACACTTTTGGTTGTTTGAGCAAGTGCACGCGCCGTATCGTGATAAAGAACCTGAGCCAAACTGGCATCTCCCATCTTTCATTCTCGTGAAATTCGACGGCCTTTGCGCTTGGGTTTGCTCCATGTTCGAGCAGCGTAAGCAGAATGCGATTTTCTGCCAAGGCGAGCAAGTCATCATCTTTTTGCCATGATTGCGTACCCGGCCCAACGGTGGGGTTACCCTCTTCTTCGCGACGGCAGAACGAAAATTCCAAGGACTTTGAAAGCGATATTTTTCTGTTAGTCCCGTGCCGAAGCTGTTGGGGTTATAGCCGCTCTCCAGCAGCTTTGATCTTGCGTTCTTTCTGCGAAAAGTGCTCGGAGCAGGGTTGACAAGAATCGATGTCGCGATCCTGTTATGTAATACCTACGAAGATAGCATCATTTCTCCTCCTCAAGAACCAAAGTAATAAAGGCCCAAGCCAAACCATTTGGCATTCCATATCGTGTCCTCATCAAAACCTCTGCATCTCATCACACACCATCACACCGAAACCTCCTTCCCTCATCCTTTCTCTACCAACCCGGCCAAGTTGCCCCAAGACATCTCACCGAGTACGGAGCACCTTAACCTACATCACCAACGAGCCCCTTGCAACCCCACCAACAACCCAATCGTAATCATCGCCCGGTATCAGTACTACATGAACAGAGACTTCCTCCGTTCTCAAACCAACTCCCGGAACTGTCGACACCTGGCTCCAACAGCATCCTTCGCAGTCACCTTGCATTCGCAAGGCGTCTGCCGCGGCGCCCCCTCGCCGCGTGGGATGCCCAGCCCACCATCCTTCACCCAAACCCCTGCTCGTGAGGCTGACGGGTGTCCCTCGCCCCCACCCAACCCCCTCCCTCTAGTTCCAGGGCGCAAGACCGTGACAGGAGGCAAACCCTTTCCTGAGTTTCTCTTCCTGCTCTGGATACCCGGCTCCGGACCCCCGCGTGGGTCCGCGTACATGTACCGGGTGACGCCGCTTTACTTGTAGCTGCGATAGATGTCAATTGTTACGTGATCGCCGTGTCTGCTACCAGGGGAAACTCGACAGCTGTAGGGAATGTGTGACCAGAGAGACATGGGAAACAGCAGCCTTACCGTAGAAGATCTTGTCGTGTACAGTGTGGGCACCCTTCAACGTGTATAGCTGGTCAGTGTATTTTGGGCGGGAAATATCAGGAAATTCTGGCAGGAAACATGTTTGGTTATTGAGTAGACTGTGGATCTCTTCTAGGTATCGGGTGAGACTGACTGAACCTTATGTAGAAATAGCCCTGACTTCGACGGCTATCGTGGTTGGGGAGAGGGTGGGGGCTCTCCTTGTCTTTTCCTTCTTCTTAGGTTGTTTTTCTTTCGTTCGACGGGGAGAGGCCGTGAGCCGTGTGGTGATACTGCTAATTTCTAAGACGTATTCTCTCAGTACTTTACAATACAGGAGACAGTACAGCCAGTCACTACATGTGTCTCATAGGGCAGCTCAGCACTCGTAGAATAATTACTATGTGTTTCCCAAGTCGACTGGGTAGCTAATTTGATGAAACTTCGTATTTTGAGTGACTGACGCTATTTAAACTGCCTGATAGTCTGAAGTAACTCTGTCAGGGTCTTGTGGATGCGAGGAGTGAATTTGAAGAAGCTGTGGTCCATTTACCGCCGCGGTGTTCAGGCTGCCTCTGCCAGGTCTGACTGACGCGTAGATGGATTTGAAGCATGCAAATCGACCACGTCAAAGGGCTGCCACCATATGGCCCTCTTCACCTCTAATCTTCCTTCGTAAGTTTCTCCTTCAAGCTATCTTCCTTCTCGATCGAGGCCCATTCTATTTTCCACGGGCCGCCATCTTCTTTTATGAAAACGACTTCATACGTCGGCTCCCCGTGAATCGTGTTGGTTGGAGCCGCCTGGGGTAAATTGTTATGGGGCGGGTTTGGGTCAATCTTGACGTCTTGGAGTCGACTTCGTGCCCAGATTCTACCACCCTCACCAAATAATACACTCATCCGTTCCAAGATGCAATCTCTTGTCACTGTAGAGTCATTGAGGGGGATGTATTCTAGTCGAAGACATGGTTGTCCGTTTCTCCTTATCGGGGGCTCGGGTTTGAGGATCATGATTTTGTACGCCGGGTCTCCGGAACTAAAACTATAGACGCCACAGAACTCCTTCGGATTGATTCCGACTACTTCGTTTGTTTCCGCGGTCCTTGAGACACCTGAAACTCCACTCTTGGTAGGAACGGGCATATTGGCAAAGGTGTGAAGATTTGAGTGAATGTTTAATGAAATGGGTGTGAGTTGAGGTATGTTGTTGTTATTGCCGTCGAGACTTCAGTAGATGGAGAGCCTTACGATCGCGTTTATATAGAAAATTTCTCCATATGCTACTTTGGGACTTAGGATCTATCTCAAAGAAAGTCATTAATGCGCAGAAGGGGCGTTTGCCGCACGGGAGTGAAAATCGGTAATGCGGTAAACATCTGCTTCGTGTCAAAAGGTCTGTCGTTGTGGAACTGCAATCGTATTTACTGAGTAACACGGGCGGCCACTGCTATCCAGTGAGTATTGCCAATGACACTTCCGAACAAAGATAGAAATATCGTGGGTATGTCTCGTAGGTAAGTATCTCAGTTGGTGTCAACCGCCCTCGCTAAGGATCGCTAAATGAAGAATTATAATGAAAGGAAACAGTACTTTTGTTCTAGAATATGAACAACCTCCACTATTTCCCTGATTATTAAGAGCTTGAGAACATGACTGCAAGAAGCTCTTTCATGGGGTCGCCGCAATTTTGTTTCACGAAGCTATCTACCGGCACAAGCTGTTCAGCGATTCAAGTCTCAAGAAAGAAAAACCTTCAGGAGTCAGAAAGCACCCCTGAAAACCGATTGCACCGCTGTCAAATGTCACTGTTCGTGGAGCCCTTCTGGATAACCTGCTGAAGGAATAAAGACGCGAGATCATTAATGCATAGTTCAGGGATACGTACGATCGATGATGGTCGTCTGATGACTTTGGGCAGGGTGAATTAATTTATCTCGTGAGGCCCAAAGGCACTGGAGACGAAGCGGTGCCACATAAACGCCAACACCAAGCCAGACCAGTCTCTTGCAATACTGAAAGTACTCTAAGATATTTTGTGCGATTCTACTGACTCTATAGTTACATTGAAATACGCTGCACCTTATGTCGCCATCATCGAGTTAGCGACTGACGTTCAGATTGCCTGACTTTAGGTCGTGAGAAAGAGGGATGGAGGGGTAAGGGGTGGGGAACTACCTTAGGTAGTATCGGATTTACCCCGCATAAGTGGGTACTGGAACGGAGGATGGCAGCTACGACCCGAACTCCGGCAACCCGGGGGTGCATGTCCCAGCCATTCTGAAAGGTGCCGCAACGGCTTCGGTGGACATGGGTCAGGTCGCTGGTACCCAGGGTCTGGCCGGTTGCGGGCCCGGAGCCGTCGGCCTCTCCACGACGTCCACGAGATGAAGTCAACGGGTGTGGCCATCTGTGGCTCAAATGGCACCTAGCAGTAACTGACTGCGATTGTGGCATTACTACAAGTGACTCTTTATACCGTGATTCCTACCGCTAGACAACATGTCTGCTTCATCATCTTGAAGCACCCATTCCCGTTTGTCGTACTTCTTTGGCCAAATGCCGTTTTTCCCAGGAGCAAGAATGCCGTTCGGATCCAGCGCGTTCTTGATTTTTTCATTGAGCTTCATCTGGGCGTTGTTGTTGAAGCTATACGTGTTTGCGATCTGGTCCATCAACGCTAGGTGTGTTCTGTACTCGCCCCAGCCACGTTCCGCACAGTCCTGGATCAGTTGCCGGATCAGCCATCGCGCTTTCAAGCGCTGCTGAGGGTCTTCGCGGTTGAATACAATGCACACAATGTGGTCTGTGAAATCTGTCAGTCTCGTGCATATCATAGGGCTGGCCGAAGCAATGAAGGACTACTGACGCATTTCTCGCATACCAATGGTGAAGGTGCCAATGAAGTCGAGTCCAGCCTCTGCGAACCTGCGCTTTGTGACCTCGTATTGGAGCTTGGCATCCTGCCCCGAAATCTTCGTGATGGGCGAAAAGAATAGGTGCGCACCGTTTGGTAGCCAGCTATGGTAATCATGATCAGTCAACTGGACAACATTGAGTCGCGATGTCAAGGCCAGGATAGGCAAGATATGACAGGATGTTGACAAGCCACATACCTCACCCAACGAAGCTCGTCCAGGGAAGGAACGCCTCGCAAGGTCTTCTCCCTTGTCTTCAAGACGCTGTATGGTTCATTTCGATCCTCCGCAAGAAAGAACTTTGAGCCGGGAACCTTTAGGAAAGCGGCCTTGATAGTATCGAGAAAGAATTTCCGCACAGGCTCCGGGCCCTATCGCGATGGGGATTAGCCATTGTTTCTGTAAACAGCGCCCGAAATGATCTTCAAGAGGTTCTTTACATAGACAGCACCATAGAAGTTCCAGCGACCTAGATTCAGTTTGGCTGCGATCGCATCAAGGTCTTCATCGGATAGTGGTTCGGCCTTGTTCGTATAAGAAGCCTTATTACCAGCTACGGCGGCGTCCAGAAGTAAATGGCGAATGGTGGGCACATTTTGAATGACAGTTTGCTGTGAGCATTGATTCTCGTCAGTCTCCGTAAGTCAATCAATCAATCGAGAGATGGGAATATCCAACTTACTAGGCGCAACGGTCTTATAATATCCACGATTTCTGACAGGTCATCCTCGCGAGGGAATGTGATCATATAGGCTTGATATCCTCCGGGATTCGGCATTAACTTTCACGATTACGGTCAGCACATATAACCTTGGTCAAAGGTCAGGTCACTGAGGAGAAAGACATGGTTGACTCACCCACACTCCCATTTTGACGACGATGCCAAGGCTGCTCTGGGAAAAGATTCCGTCGTTGTAAGGGCCGAATCCATAGTTGAACAGCTGCCAAGCAGAATTTGCCTTCTGTTCATGGGGCGGAAGGTCTGAATTCCCTCCAGACGGGTCCGGAAGCGCTCCCATGCCAGTGCGGACGAGGGTGCCGTCGGGGAGAATGACCTCCATACCGCAATGCATCATGAAGTGATCTGCTGAGCATCAGATGTATGACCAACTTATTACAATAGTCTTCTTGACGACATCTTACCTCCGTAAGGTGCTGTGAGATTCCCAAAGTAATTAGCCTACAAGTTCTAGGTCATGGTTGAGGCTAGCCCTCAGCACTTACTGTAACCGACACCTCTCTCAAGAGTGTTCCCTGTGTCCGTCAGTCAAGGACTATATGTAGGGAAACCGTTATTACTACCAATAATTGAGCCGCCTCCAAGATCAGGTACCTAAATCCATGGTCAGAAACACGCTTTCATAGTCCTTGCAAAAGAAGAACGCACATCTAGCCACAGGTGTTCACTGAGGCCAGTCTTGACAAGATGCTCATAAAGACCAGCAAAAGTGACCCCAGGCTCGACGAGAGCGTACGCTCCATCGACATTTACCTCGAGGACCTTGTTCAGATGCCTTCCGAGTTCTATACCGAGACTGCCTGGAACTCGCGGTGCTGCGCCGCCGTACCCCGTGTTGCGGCCAATAGAAAATGGCCAGACGGGCATCTGCAGCTGGTTGCAAAGCCGCATCACATCTTGGACTTCGGGAACAGACCTGGGATTGATGATGGCGCACGATACGAAAAAGTCTCTCGTGTAGACGGCGTGCATGTCGTGGGACTTGCATGGGTTGACGTAGTCTCCGTCGGCCAGCTCCTTGTCTGCTGAGATGATGTCGAGGTTCTCTTCCCCTATGATTGGGACTATGGACTCGACAAAACGCTCAAAGTCATTGGCGTCCCAGCCGGGAGGAAGACGACGAGGTTGATGGTAAGGCATTTTGTATGACGCTGAAGTATCCGCTCAGCAAGTAGTGTAAGATCGCTTGTTGGTGCGTGACGCGATGGAATGGTATTCAAGCGAGGAAGAAAGAACTTTGGTGGTAAGCTGTCACTCATGGTATCACAATGTGTTCATGTTGTCTTATAGATGCCGATTGAACATAATTCAAGTGCTTCATCTCCTACCTGCGGTTGCAACATCCGCCCCAATCCCGAGGCCGAGGTCATGAGCCTGCCGATGCAGCACACCCTCTCGGGATTTTCCCCACACAACTCCGCATCGAAACCGCCGCTCTACTGCTCGTGTAAGTGAAACTATCTCCGAGTGCGGGGCACCGGTAAACTCTCACCACCGTGCTTGTCGCTGCCAGTTCAGTTACCGAAGCCTCCTGCAGTTGGCGTCCATCAATTGGAAAAGTTGGGCGCGAGATTCAAAGCCTTCCCCATGGGGTGTGGAGTTTGCTCCGATGCCTCTTCATCATGCTTGCCGGCATATCGTTGGCTGCAATTCTCTGGCGATAGGTTCCTATGCAACATGCTATCGGGGAAGCCACTATGGCTTGTCAATCATATCCAGTTGAGAGTACTGCCCAGAGTGAATCTTCCATATAAGTTCATGGTTTTTCGCGCAGCAGTATCATGGAGCTGTCAAAGGAAACCCCTATCTTGGTATCAAACGGACTCACCCATGTGAGGTTAAGCAATATTTTCAAATCTTATCAGTACTGTTCACGCAGGGAAAAAAAAATGAACTTGTTTTCGACACAGTTTCTAAGCCTACCACGTGATGGGTATATGTCCTCTGCCAGAGACATTATGGGCAATTGGAGTTATGTGATGGTGTTTGCGGTGATTCTACTTCTCTGGTTCTCTTCGATCATACACACCGTGTTTTTCCATCCTCTCAGCAGGGTTCCGGGACCATGGCTGGCCACCTTCAGCGAAGCCTGGAGATCCCACAAGTACTTTCGAGGGACATGGCACCAAGATGTTGTCCTATTGCACCGGAAGTACGGGAACGTTGTCCGTATTGCCCCAAACGAATTGAGCATTGTCGACGAAGCCGGTCTGAAAGCACTATACGGCCATGGTCAGAAAGTTGTCAAGGTCAGGAATCTAAGCCTCAACCAAAAGCTTGTCAATCTATGAAGTTCGTTGTCTGACTATAACTCACAGAGCAAATGGTACGACACTTGGACCGTTCCAAACATGAGTATGAGTTTCTTCGCCGTCAGGGACATCAAGACTCATCGGCATCTGCGGTCTCGCGTCTCGTCCGGGTACTCCATGACTGCCATACAATCCATGGAGCCCTTGATACAAGATGCCGCAAACTCTATGTGGAAGAGAATGGCAGAGTTTGCCGATAGGAACGCTCCGGTTCGCATGGACGAGTGGGTAAACTACTTCGCCTTCGACGTGGTTGGCAGCTTGGCTTTGGGAGGCCCCATCGGTTTCATAGAGAAGGGAAAGGATGTTGAAGGCATCATCCGGTCAATCCACGACGGCTTCTGGCTCATGGCAAACATGGGCAACATGCCACTTCAAATGGCGTGGTTCAACAACTGCATCGCGCAGTGGGCCCTTAGGTCCTTTGGCGGCGAACGGCTCCAGGCCTTCTCCAGATTTGTGGACTGGCTAGAGGTCCGCGTTGACGAGCGCTACCGAAATGGCCTTGGTTTCAAGCGGCGAGATATGTTACAGCTGTTCATCGACGGCAAAGATATGGCAGGGCAGCCGGTCACAAAGGGCGATGTGATGATGGAAGGCGTCAATATTCTGGGCGCCGGAGCAGATACGACAACTATTGGCATTCTTGCCACGCTGGGCTCGCTTCTTCTTCATCCCGAAGCGATAGTTCGGCTCCAGGCAGAGATCGATGAAGCGTATTGCTCCTTGGGACTCGAAAATACAGGGCGAGACATAGGGTTCTTGGAGTCGTCCAGACTGCCGTTCCTATCTGCCGTCATCAAAGAGAGTACGAGACTGCACCCTTCCATTCAGTATCAACTTCCGCGCATGGTTGGTCCCGGAGGCTTGCAACTGGATGAAATGGCAGTGCCGGAAGGCACGGTCTGTGGAATAAGTCCCGCTTCCATGAACAGGTCGATGGAAATATTTGGCCCAGACGCCGATGAGTGGAAGCCTGAGAGATGGATTGCGAGTGATGCAAACCATGAAGGAAAGATCAAGTATTGGAACTCTCATATAACAACGGTAAGAACACGTCCAAATTTCCTCCTTATATGTTCATCAGGTAGGGCAGCAAGGGGTGGCTAACGCGATTACAGTTCGGCATGGGAAGCAGAAGCTGCGTGGGGAAGAACTTGGCTACGGTCGAAATGCACAATTTTATTGCGCAGTTCTTCCGTAGGTTTGATGCTTCGTTAGTGGATCTGGACCGCCCCTGGCAGACGAAAACACAATGGTTTGCTTTTCAGAGGAACTTCTGGGTACGCGTACAGCGTAGATGTTGATCTGGCGACAGTGGCTAGCGTTTGGCTCCCGGTGGTAAGGTGAACTCAAATTGGACAATGGGAGCCCTCCAGATCAGCCCATACACAGGCGTCACATGAAGAAGTAATGGTATCAACCAACTTAAGCATAACGAATAAATGAGAAAGCCTTGGCCTCGACTCTTATGAAGAAACTCATGAAGAAACTCATGTCGTATTAAGATGAGGTACGTAGAGCAACACACTCGAGAGCTAGTGTGGCTAGAAATAGCCGGTCCTCTACGCCCCCTCTCTGCCGATCCTCCCGGCAAGGTGCGGTTCCCCGCAGATCCACACTGGGGGAACGTCCGGGGAAGTAAACGGTATTTTGAAAGATGTTACCTTGAAGGAACATTACCCCCGATCATCTACACGTAGTGTCCAGCCGCACCATGATACTCGAGACGGATAATCTTATCAATCATGGCTTCCAGCACGCTGTCTTCTTCTGCTACCTCTGGCTTCTCCTGCCAAGTGTGTGATCGAAAGTTCACACGTCTCGAACATCTTCAACGCCACAAAGTAATGCGTATATAAGCCTGATCCCCCATCATCCACGCTCGATCATTGGAATTTCTGACGTTTAGACTCCGCCACAGATAGTACCAACCGCCCATTCAATTGTCATTTCTGTTCGCAATCTTTCGGGCGCAGGCAAGTAAGCTCATGTCGTGTGAAGGGACGACCAAGCTAAAGCCCACATCCATTCGGAACAGGGACGTTCTCAAGCGTCATTTCAAGGCCTGCAAGGAGAGGCTTCGAGCAGATGTGGAGATTCCGCAGCTTCCTCAAAGTACTAGAGGCAAGAAGAAGACAGCCTGCGATCGTTGCAGCCATAGGAAGCGAGCTTGCAGCTCTCAGTGGCCATGTCGTACTTGTCTTAAGGATAACAGGCCTTGCACGTATGCAGCACAGATTGCCAGCGATGAAAACCAAACTTCGGCTGCGCATGGTAGACAACGAGATAAATCACCTTTGGCAGACACGAACCGCAGCGATCCTGGATCAGGTACTCTGACGGAACGTGCCATGGTCCAAGAATCTCTAGTCTCAAACACACTACTCGACGCCCGAGCTTCCAGCGACGACCTATTTTCTATGCCTGCGACTGAAGGCGGCATTGTAGAAACATACCTAGACGAGCCCCTGACCGACAAGTTAGACCTAGACGATCCCTTCCATTACCATGCTGAAGAGCCGCACGACCTGCTCATTCCCGACCTGGTCTACTCAACATTCGACTTCCCATACGAAACCCGGACACAGAACACGATCAGGTATCACTTCAACTATATGCGAAGGTTTACTAAATTTGCGGGCCTGGCGCAGTCCTTTGAATGTGGCTCGCTCCAAGAACGACAGTTACTACTCCAGCAGATCAGGAAACCAAACCCCAGGTGCGATGGTCGCATTTGGGACAGCTACTTACGCTCGGTATTCCCCCTCGCCGCAGAGCCTGACTCGCCATGGCGCAGTATTCAAAACTCTTCTGTCTCGTTCTCGACCGAATCCCAATACAGCCTCAACAACCAGTCCAACGATCAACTCTCCCGGCCTTATGTGGAGGAGGCTTCTGACGTGACGTCTAAGATTGTAGCAATGCTTAAAGACATCACTATCAGCAAACCAAGAGGCAGCAAAATCAACATCTCCTGGTCCAGCTCCATCGAATTTTCCTGCCACAACTTCTTCTCCCCTCAAAGACTACAAGACAATCTCGAGCTGTTCTGGTCGTGTTGGTATCCCAACTGCCCCATCATTCACAAACCATCCTTCTCGACTTCCAATGCATCGCCCTTGCTCATCGCCGCCATGGCCGTCTTGGGAGCATGCCTCTCTCCGTCGCCGAGCGTCCGCGCAAACGCCAACATTTGGTTCAACAGTGTAGAAGAACTCGTCTTCCTCGACGAGGCTCTTCTTGATGAGTCCATTACCGTTGATGATTCCACCTCCTGTGACGATGAAGCGGTCTATAGGCGCCTCGAAGCGATACAAGCTGCCTACTTGATTTGTCTGATTCAATATTGGGAGGGCGTTAAACTAAGCAAACGTCGAATTCGAAGAAATAGGTATGCTATTGTCTTGGATGTAAGTGAAATCCAGATCTTGCATAACAGTCCACCCGTTTCCAGCTAACAATCTCTCTGTCAGGCAGCAAGAGATTTTGGCTTAGGTGATCTTACCCGTCATAAGCTGCCGGTTGATGATTCCTCCACTTTCAGCTGGAAAAGATTTGTGTTACTGGAGATGCTTATTCGGTAAGTTACCACATGGGAGACATAGAGTTCCCAAAAAAGGCAAGCAGAGTCTAATCTACGATATAAAGAACTGGAACCTACATCTTCCTACTCGATGGTGCGTTTGTCATTTTCCACAACTCACCCCCGAGACTCGTTGTCGCCGAGATGAGAATGAGTCTCGTCTGTCCCGACTCCTGCTTCCAAGCGTCTTCGCAAGAAGAGTGCTTCGTCCTTCTACACAATTGGTCCTCGAGCGAACCGCGGCAAGCTCAGATGCGAGTCGTTGATCTCGTCGAGGCCATGTGCAACGATCGCCTCTGCGATGAAGAGACCTGCCAAGGTTTAGCGGGTCTCAGCATGTTGAACCTGTTCACGGCCATCACTGGTGTGTACCTTTCTTCAGTTGAATCTTTCCATTTGATAGTACTTCAGGTGTCGTTTATATCCAAACGCGGGCGGACGCTTACGCGATATAACTTAGCATTACACACCCTCGGATTCCACTACGAGGTATCTCTTGCGCCCAATAGCGGGTCGTGGCACCTTCAGATAGGGTTGAATCGATGGATCTCGCTCTACGCCCAGGCCGACAGCTGGGTCGTTGAAAGTCCACCTGGTCTCCTGCTTTGCGATGAAATGTGGCGACGGCTCGGTTTCATACGTCACGCAAAGGAGTTTTGGATGCTTGCTCAGCTGATGCTGGATAAGTCGCAAGTCGAGTTGAATACGGCTGACCCAAGTTGTGGACCTTTTGACAAGACCCGAGGTACAGTGTATGACGAGAACACCATGGATTATGTTCACAACTTGGTGCAAAGTCTTGGAGACTTGAAGATAGCTTAAGATGTTGGGCTTGTAATGTCTATATTGTCACCAAGCTGAAGCCATCGTTTCCTGTCTATACGCCCATAACATCTCTCGGCTTGGACTTCTACCTTAGAGCCCTCTGGGCCGATTGAATGTGGAGCACAAATATTTGGCTGTGTACTAGGAGTTCTCTTCAAGCCCATCATTAATTTACTTAAGCATTGGTCTTCCATCCACTGGAATAAGCCATGTGGAAACGTTGCAGGACATTCCACTCGCGTAGGCGCTTCCTCGAAGAAGGCTCTTTGACGACATGCCGATGAGCCAATATGGCTGAATCAAGTCTTCCTATGTAGATCAAATGCCGCTCCTATCTGCCGTGAGTTGTGCCTCCAAGCACGGGTGTCATGTGTATTGACAACACAGCGGCGGCATTTTCCCCACCCTAACGGCAGATGGGTCTTCAACCACGAGACAAGGTAGGGAGAACCGTCCACGCCTGTGAGTAACCGAGGTTTAAACTCAATTCAGAAGTATGGGTTTTAATCGAGAGCCGAGACCAAATGGAAACAGCGTCAAGTACCGTTGAATCCAGTGGGCATCACCGCACGCTGAGGAACACAGGCTTCCTTCTCTCGGCAGACTGCCACATACGACCATACCCATTGGAAAATTCGGGATCCCGTCCGCTCTCCCATAGACAAGCCAATGAGGGCCGGATTAGTAGTTGGGTCGGTGACGACCAGCGAATACCTGGTGTTGTATGTTTTTGAATTTTGTTTTGTGAAGTTATCGTCGTTTTGTAGTGGTCGGTGACGGTGGCCAGCTTGGGCGGAAGTGGTGGGGTTTGGTGGTGGCCGCTAGGGGTTATTTTTGGGGCTTCTCCAAGTACTATGGTTTTCCAATTATCATACTAGGGTCGCATTGCATATGCCAAGTCCACTACATGGTGAAGATGTATGAGCCTGCCGGATGGTGAGTATTGAACAGTAAAAAAGTCTCAACTGCATCTGTCTCGCAGCGTCATGAGTCTATCCGATCAATTGCGGGATCAGCTATCGCGCCTTCAGGCGCTGCTGAGGGTCCACTGCGCTCAATTGCTTCTAAATCGAGTAAGGCTGCCTAGTGGTAGTGGAGCTTGCGTATAAGCTAGCACTGCCACCAGTGACCACTCCCGAGGGCAGCGAGATCACTGATATGTTATGCGTCTCCTATCCGCATTCCCGCCCTCGAGAGATGGGAACTCTACTTTGACACTTACTCATGTCGCAGCACTCAAATGAAGATCAAGCGGAAAGTCGGACCGCTGGATCACCGCAGGAGACGAACTCGTTGTCAGCCATGCGCCAAAAGACGTATCAAGGTACCTACCTCCGAACGACCCAATCCCAAACATGGCGTTACTTGAACTCACACGCGATCAAATAAGTGTCAAGGTGGTTCTCCTTGCGAGTACTGTACTCGAACCAAGAAAAGGTGCATACCTCAGACCATCTCGGCGACCGAAGTGCAGTTCATGAGCCCCGAATCCCCTGGAGAAAGCGTGCAAGTCGCTGGACTGCCGACACAAGTCAACATCTACAGCGATACCCCCTACCTTGACTTTTTTGATCTATTTATGAAGCGTTGTTTGTTCACAGACGAATTCAATGGCTTGGCTGCCGACCTCTTACCCCTGACCCAAACATGCTTGCCACTCGGGCAAGTAGTGACAGCGATCGGCGCACTCGAAGCCAGCCGACGAGCAACCGTCAAGTCCTCCCGCGGGCAGCAGTCACCTTACACCGTTGCCTTTATGTCCTATGGGGAATCCATCAAGACGCTTCGAGCTCGACTGGAGGCATCAGACGCATTCCGCTGTGGTGGAGTTCTCTGGTGTACGCTACTTCTCGGGCTCTTCGAGGTGATTGATACTTCAACCATTGTTTTCTCTTTTTACATCGTATTTACTGACCGGTAGTTGACAGTTGATGACTGAAACTTCTGGAGACACGTGGGCCAAACACATGCTCTACGGGACGGCTAGGATCATCCAAAGTGTAGCAGCAACGACGACTCAGTTTTGCCAACTTGACAGAAGACTTTTTGGAGCGTTTAGATCGCTAGAGGCAAACCGAGCCATTCTGTACGGCGAAGATACGTTTTTATCGCAGGAGCCGTGGTCAAAGTCTCGACAAGAGCTTGTCGCAAACCCGGCGAGTCAAGTAGAGACCATCTTTGACGTCCTGATCGAAATCTCTTCCTTTAGTAAAGCGTAAGTCGGCATTCTTAACTGAAAATAAATCGGAGCTCAAGGCATTGCTAGGTTCTTTGACCGTATCGAGTTAATCCGGGAGACACTACGACGTGGGCACCCGGCGATACACGCTCTAGCTGAGCAAGGTCAGCGTTTCCAGCAGCGACTTCGCAGCTGGTATGACCAAATTACACCGCATTATGGTCACCATGATCCGTATTGCATGCTAGCTTTATCAAACTACAGTGCTCTCCAGTTGTTTCTGGCTAAAAACTATACCTTCTATACATGTTGGGAGGAGCAAGATATCCCCTCGCTAGCAGCACACGAAATCGAGGCCCATGCAGCCGCTGTGGTAACCCTATCAAACCAAATTCTCGAGCACTCCAACATGCCGGGAGTGTTACTTCTGTTTCCTCTCCGAATGGCTGGAGCAAACACAAGTCAGTCTTTGCAAAAAGATGAAACTGTTAGGTTGCTCGACAGAATAGCACAAAAGGGGTTCGCAGTCTCTGGAAGAATCAAAAGGGATCTACAGGAATTGTGGGAATACCAACATGCTGAAAGGGCACGGGGCGGCAGTTGAAATTTATCGGGATGGCGCCAATCAAGGAGCCTCTATGTATCAAGAACTAAGTTGCAGGACGGATGTAAAGTACAACAAGCCGACCTTGCCTCCTGACGTGAGTTTCAAAGCCCTGGGTAAACGTTGCTCAAATCTCACTTTGCTTGGATGTTAAAGAGCTCCATGATCACTCGGGTTCGTAGATCGGGGGCAAAGTAGTCGTAGCCAACGACGATATTGCACTCATTGACGTAAACCGTCACGGGAATGGCACCCTGGTACATGATGCTCCACTGAACAAATATCAACTTGACGGTTCACGGGAGAGAAATTGAGATAGCAGAGGTCTCTTACCGCGGCAACAGGCGATGGGATGAAGTCCCTCTGTACCAGTCCTTCATAGACTGCTCCAGCTTCAACCAGAATATCATCTTGGAAGATGGGAAAATTCGAATTCACGTACCCCCTCCATACGCTCGGGGTGGTGGAGTTCTGGCCATACGTCGTCAACGTGTTGTCCACGAGGCCGGATTTGCTAACGTTGGAATAGTCAAACAACGACCATGAAATCTGACCCTTGTAGGCTTCGCCCACACGGACAAAAGCCCCGGAAGGGGAGTTGTCGATGTAGCCAGTCGTGATGTGTGACAGGTTCGCATTCCTAGCTCTCGCGGTTAGAAGGATGGAACATGTTGATGGGCGGAAGAAGGTACCATTTATGCTGAACAAAATTGGCCTGATACTCTGGTTTGATCAGAGGTGGCTGTGGCTGTTCGAAGCCGGCAGAGAAGGTGATCATGGATGGCGGAAAGGCAGGGCAACCGGGGGATAATGGGAGACATGTTGCTCCAACTGCCGCCGCGGCAAGGGCAGTGGGAAGGAAGCTGAAGGACTGCATTGTGGACTGTAAGTAGGATTCAGATGAGATGCTTAGAAGTGAGAATGTTGAGTTTTTTCGGCTACAATGTCCAGACATTCGTGCCTCTTTATATACATTGGGAACATGTTGCTTCTTCAGCGTCGCTCTTCAAGTGCGTTCTATGACTACCAATTTGGGATAGCTGACTCCACTCACTATGGTCGCGGCTGTGCAACATGGTGACCGGGAGGGCTGTCAGAACACGCTCGATCGTTTCCTACCATGTCCATCACATGGAGAAAAAGTATGAGCCTGCCTGACGGTGTTCAGCGAACGACGACGAGCATGTTTCAATTGGATCATTCTCGGGGTGTGATGAGTCTACTCCACCACAAAGATTGTTCGCCATGACTGAACCACCACTTATACAGCTATCATAACAGCTAGTTCGTCTTCTTCTCCTCATCCTTAGGCACGTACGTCTGCCAAGATTTGTCGCCCATAATGCCATCAATCCTGTTCAGCTTGGCCACGACGTCCGCACGGTCTGTGAGGTGCCTCTTGATATGGACCGTGGTTTGGTAGAGAATGACTAGGGTATAACGGCGTCAGGAGACAAAAACAGACCCGATGCATGGATGCATGTTGACTTACTCGAAGGCACAACGACCCAAGGAGAATTGAGACCAATGTAGTAGACCCAGAAGTACAGAAACTCGGGTCTGCTGTGTGACACTCCGTCGGAGTAGAACTCGAGCAAGCTGGTTGAGTAGTAGAGCACGACGCCGTAGAGGTGCCCGACACTCATGATGACCTGAAAGGGGTAACGCAACTGATTCCGCTTGGCAGTAGTGATGACGATGGCCCAACAGAGGGGTCCCCACACGAGCTGGGATCTCGGTCAACATTGGGCTCTTCCACGATGCTAAGAAACGGCGCGACTTACTACTGTGAAAGACTCAACACAGAGCATGAATGGATCGGAGGTCAGGTAGCGAGAGTCGGAGAGTGCGTACTCCTTCCACAGCTGGCCGAAGAGACTTTGGTCACTGGCAAGGCCCTTATGGTTAAGGATGAAGTATCCTATGGAGGCGTTAGACTTGAACTGAGAGGAACCGAAGATTCGGAGACACACCTTCGAAGAAACAGTGAAGGAACCCGCCTGTTTGGAAGAGACAATTAGCCAGATTTGAACGAGCGATGTTTTGAGCAACACTCACAAAGAGCAAACCAAGCCACGGTAAGCTGATCTGAGGCTTTCAACTGAGGATAGGCATTTCTAGCGCCCGCGACGGCAGTAAAGACAACGAAAGATATTATACTCCCGAAGAATACGAGAAGGCTGAGAACGGAGTTCTTGTTGGCGACATAGTGCGGTAGGGCAGCAGTGACTGGGTAGTAAGGATGCGTAAAAGCGGCAGCGGCGTCTGTCGCGTTATCCATGATGGGTCGGTTCTCTGTGTGATTGTCTCAAGAGTTTCTGCAAGCGTAGAGTAACACGTTATTTCGAGTGATACCAAAGTTTCGTCGTCTTGTTTGTGAGGTGGCTGGAGTTGGGGTTGGGTTCAAGTTGAATGGGGTTCCCCGTTTTTGAAGATCGCTAGAAGACTTGCCTGCCGAACCAGGGTCGAAGTTACCTGATCAATGCCAGACACACCTTGCACTCAGCATCGGGCAACAACGCCTGGCGTCCGGCTATTTCTCAATGTGGTGAGAATATCGAATTGAGGTCTGGAAAGATTGCTCAGGTCAAGATCCGATTCTACCTACTTCCTCGTGCAGAGGCAGTCAACACTCGGCTCAATCAGGTACCTAAGATGCACGGATCCCTTGCATCGCTAGCACCTGTCAATACCTCGGCGATCTAGCAGTGTCCGATGACTTTCTTCCCAGCTCTCCCTATGTACCAGTGCGACGGTATAGACAAATTGAATTAATTGGAAGCAGCATCATCGATGCTCGAGAAATGGGATGAACTCGGAGTTGGAAGTGGCCACCCTGCCCTACCACGGTAGCTCGTCGTATCCGAAAAAGGGAATCGGACCGCTGATCTTCCGCTGCTCGGGGGCCGCCCGCAGCAGACAGCCGCTCTTTACCGCCAACTATTCAACTTCGTGACAAGCTTATCCGTACTCCCATCTTCCAAAACGGCTTCAATCTACCTTCAGAAAAAGGCCTCACTCACTCACCCCAACACCCATTACAGGTCGGACCTACAACTCATCTATTTTCCCAGACTACAAACTCAACATGGGTGACATTCCAGTTGAGGAGGCACCTTTCCCGCTCACAGACGTCGATAAGTGGGTCCTCTCACAGACAGATGAGGAGTTTAAGAAGCATGGCTGGGAGGAGCTCAAGGAGATCATTGGTAAGCGCGTTTGCGTTGCGTCTTTTGTAGATATTCTGTCCCAAAGATCTAATTAGACACCAGCGACAAATAAGCTCGAGGTTTTGAAGCGAAAGCCGTCAGACCTTCGCCGATACATGAAATGGACGGCCGAGACCAAGGCCGAGTACGGCTCCATGACCAAATTCCTTCTCACCAACCGCTTGCCCAAGCCTTGGGGTGAGCCGCCATTTAGCCCCAAGTCTACCGTGCCTTTTGAGGATCCTTCCGACTATCGCGTTCTTGTGAACGACTGGCCGTATGGACTTGACCCGGGCATCACGCATATCGTGGTCTGGTCGCGCACCATCATCCCTACAGACCCTGAGACCGGAGATATGACAGTAGAGAGCAGGCGCACTGTCCAGGACTTCATTGACAGGTACTTTGTCAAAACTCTTGGTGATGTCGGAGAAGACAGGGTTGTCTGGTTCAAGAATTGGGTCGCCCTTCAGAGCGTCCGGGCCTTGGAGCATATCCACGTGCTGGTGCGAGACGTCGACCCGGAAGTCATCAGGAAGTGGTCTGAGGAACAATCCTGGCACAGATAGAACCTAGTCGCTGCATTCTCGATAGAACAATAGACATTTTGGCACGTCGCGCCCGCGTCCTTGGCGATACAAGATGTGACTTTGGCTATGCGGCTCGTCGCTGCCTCCTGTTGGCGGGCGGGGCGGGCTCTTCGCTGTTCGCAGCGCCCATCTGTGCCATACGCTTGCCAGCTCCGAGCAAGCCGTATCCAGCGTATGCGCCGTAGGCGGGCACGGCAAGCCACAAGAACCAACCCCAGTTGCCGAACAAGATGACGAGAACGACAGAGGCCCAAGTAACCCATACGACGTCGAACATGTACTCGGTCAAGCCCGCGGCGGCCAAGTCCTCGCCAGAGGTCTTGAGGCCTCCTCCCACGTCATACTTGGGACGTCCAGATTTCTCAAGGACGTACTCGCAGATCAAGGCCGGGGCGGAGAGCAAGATGAACCAGAAGAGAGAGCGGGACTTGAAGATGAAGTAGAAGATGAGAAAGGCGACGTTGACAACGGCGGAACCAATGTGGAGGTTGTTCAAGGTGGTGGCGTTCGATTTGGCCCTGTCCTTCTTTGCCTTTTGCGCCATGATGGAAGTTTCTGAGGGTTGTGTCGTGGGGTACGAAGTTGGATGCAAGGTACGGAGTGAGGTATTGAGACAATAAGAGGCCTCGAGAACGTGAGTGAGGTCAAGTTAATGAAGTTAATGATGTCGGTCTTCGAAAGTGGGGTCCAACGTTCCTTTGAGTAAGGTAGAAGACAGGTTGCGACCTGGCTGGAATTGAGGCTGAAAGGATCGAGGTGACGAAATTCCAGAGAAGCAGTTGAGGCTGATGGCTGATAATGTGGCTCAGGTACGGCGGGACCCAATGGAACGGGAGGACGGCGAAAAGTGGAGCTCCGGGAACGGAAGCGAAAAGTGGCGGGTAAATGTCTCTGGCGCAAGGGGAAGGCACGGGGGAGGCGTTGCGACTGCGACTGCGACTCGGACACTGGACGGGCTGGCAGATGGGGGGGCTGGCGGCAGGGGGGTTGGTAAGGTACGTACTGTGTAGACACTTTGTAGGCGCTTCATCCGGTCGGGTTGCTGGGGCAAAGGCGACGGCGGTCACTGAGGTATCGTATGGGCCAATCAGGTTTGTAGTGTCACCACACCAAGCGCGACCTAAGGAAGGAAACGCCGCAGTCAGGTCAACACACCATCGTCCAGACTTGGAGCAAGAGACGCTGACTGGACGGACATGCACACAATGGCAAGCCGCAACATGGCCTTGGATCTAGACCTAAAGTGACACCTTCACGACCATCTCTGCCTCTCTTTGCCTCTGCCCTTCCCTCCTGCCATCCCACGCAGAGTGCACGGCTGATCTGGCCTGACGTCTGTTGATCTGACGAGCTACGGAGAATTCTCACTTCGCTCACTCTCAGTCTCGTCCGTCCTCCGCCTCCCGCCTGGCTGTTTCCCTCTGGACAGCAATCCCCCCTCCTCCTCCCCTCCATCCTATTCAGTTCCTCTTCATTCGTTCCCTGGGGAGTCTTTTGCCGTGCCCATCTCGCTGCATTCTCGTTGCGACCGTTTTGCTTTCGTTTTCGTGCGCCCTGTTTAGTCAGTCAGATGGACCGCGAATTTTGTCTTGTGTTGCTGCAAAGAGCCGATACTGCTGCACTTTGACTGAGTTCACTCACTGCCCGCCTGTTGCCGAACCCAAACAACAATCCACGGGGACCCACCACGCAACGAACGCCTTCTTCGCTCCTACAGGCAACAATCCGCAAACTGCCCATTGAACCACCTCTACGACCTTACGAACCTCGCCGTCGTCTTTTGCAGCATTTACCGATTCAATTCGACCTTGCACTCTCGCCTTCTGCTGCACTTTAATCGTTAATCCTCAATCATCTGTCGACACAAACGCGCTTCCAGCACCCTTGCTGCTCTCAGCCTCAGGCTCTGCGCGAACGCCCACCTCGAAATTCACGGACGCAACTTTTTGCGCCTGCACAAAATCCTATACCCAAGCTCGACAGAGCCCGAACAACGCTTCCCGACCAAAGCTGCACGTCCAGTGCATCGGGACGCTACCGAGGACCGCGATTGCTAGCCTTCGAATTCAACAGTTGCTGCACCACCCACGAGATCCCATGGCCATAAACTGCCGTTGACGTTAACCCTCCTCCACCGAACCGTCCACCTCTTTTCCACCACCCACCGAGAATGGCGCCCACGAGTGCCGCCATAACAGGGCTGCTGCGGCAGGTAGTTTACTACCATGTCGATAACAATGCCTACGAGAACGCCCTCTTTTTCGCCGAGAGGCTAAGCGCCCAAGATCCCAAGTCGAGCGAGTCTGCACATCTCCTGGCTCAATGCCACCTCCGTCTCGGTGACCATCGAACTGCCTTCGAAGTCAGCAGGCCATCAGCTTCCCGTGGAACGAATCTGGGCGCTGCCTGGGTATTTGCGCACGCATGCGTCAAAATGGAACGATACAAAGACGGCATCAATGCCCTAGAAAAAGCACGGGAGAAATGGATCGGCAAGACGAACATGGGCAAGCACACCACCTCGACTCGCTCGCTCTATCCAGACGAGGCTGCGGTCCTGTGTCTGTTGGGCAAGCTGTACCGGGCGTACGATGACAAGCGAAGGGCAATCGAGTGTTTCGAGACTGCAGTGAGAGTCAACCCTTTCATGTGGGATGCCTTCCAGGCACTCAGCGATATGGGCGTGAAGTTGCGCGTACCGAATATTTTTCAGGTCACCGATCCTCTCGTTCATTGTTTTGAACAGGAGCAGGGAGTGTTACCCCAGGAGCCAAAAGAGAGTTCGGCAAACTCCTTCGAGCCCAAACGGCCTCCTATTCGATCAACGGCGGACTCATCCGACCCATTCAACCTCCATCGATCCTCTACCTATCAGGATATGCCTTACAGTGCCAATCTCTTCTCCGCGGAAGCAGAGGAGAATGATTTCATGTCTAAAATCACAGCAGCAAGATCTAGACTAGCCCCACCATCCACGAGCAACGGTGAACTCGACCTAATGGAAACACCTACCGGCCCAGTGTCTATGCCGGAGGTCCCTACAATGCGTTCAGCTTTCAGCGCTGCGGAGCCACCGCAAGCGCCGCCACGGAGGACAAGAACAGCCCAGGCCGTGGATCCCAGCCTTTTCGAAGCCCCACCGAAGGTCAGTTACAAACTAGGTGCCAAAAGAAGCACCAGAAGCCAAGACAAGGATTCAGTCGAGCTGCATTCCGACACTGGAACCGGGACTCTGCGGTCGACCATGGCACCCACGGAGCGGAAGAGGACGGTTTCAGGCCACCCGGTATCTAGGCAACACACGGAAGAAGCCAACGCACCTGCACAACGGAGAAGTGCCAGGCTTAACATGTTTAACAAACCCTCAATTGCTAAAGCGAATTCCGGTGCCGCTACTATCGGCGCCGCAGCGACTCGTGAGCTGAAGAAGGCTAGACCCCAGATCTCACGGATAATGCGACCTGGCTCTAGTGGCTCCAGTGTTGGCAGAGTCGTGAGCGGCAACCGCAAGCCGGTCGAAGACAGTGGCATGGATGTCGATCACGCCGAGACCACTCGTGTGAGGGAGCCGCACGCGGTGCAGCATGCAGCACCGAAAGCTGCCTCACACGAACTCGACAACGTCAGAATCGAGGAGGCTTTGAGATGGGTCATGGAGTTGCTCAAGAAATTCGCCTCTGGATATTACTCACTCAAAGCGTTCCGGTGTCAGGAGGCGCTGCAATTCTATGCTTCCCTACCCAGGAGTCAGCAAGATACACCTTGGGTGTTGGCGCAAATGGGCCGAGCACATCACGAACAGGGGTCGTACAAGGACGCTGAGAAGTACTTCAGAAAGTTGCGAGTGGTGGCGCCGACGCGGATGGACGACATGGAAATCTACTCGACGATTCTTTGGCATCTCAAGCGGGAGACGGACTTGTCCTTCTTGGCTCACGAGCTGGTGGATGCCGACTGGACATCTCCACAAGCCTGGTGCGCTCTCGGCAATGCTTGGTCGCTGGCAAGGGAGCATGAAATGGCTTTGCGCTGCTTTAAGCGAGCAACGCAGCTGAACCCCAAGTTCGCATATGCCTTTACGCTACAAGGCCATGAGCACGTCGCCAACGAAGAGTATGAAAAGGCTCTCAGCGCCTTCCGCAAGGCTGTCACGGCGGACCGACGCCACTACAACGCGTACTACGGCATTGGTCAGGTCTTTGAGAAACTCGGCAACTACGAAAAGGCTTATGTTCACTTCCATACGGCATCCGATATCAACCCGACCAATGCTGTCCTCATCTGCCGTATCGGAGCAATCCTGGAAAGGCAGAAGCAAATGATAGCTGCGCTACAATTTTATACTAAAGCGACAGACCTGGCACCGCGTGCACCCATAGTACGGTACAAAAAAGCACGCGCACTGATGAGTCTGGGCAAGATAGATCTCGCGGAGAAGGAGTTGCTCATTCTGAAGGATGTGGCCCCTGATGAAGCCATGGTACACTTCCTTCTTGGCAAGCTGTACAGAAGCCTGAATGAAAAGCAAATGGCTGTGCGCGCCTTCAGCAATGCTCTTGCTTTGGATCCAAAGGTAAGGTTCCCCAGTTAGGGAAGTAAAGCAGACATTTGAGCTAACAGTCTGAGCAGGCGAGTCAGTCGATCAAGGACGCCATCGAGAGTATCGAGGATGACATGGGCATGGAAGACTCCATGATGACATAGGATGACAGGAGAAAGAAGGTCGTCTTCGACTGAGGTTGTTTTGGCCTAGCTTGGCGACGGGAGCGCAAGGGTGTCGGCGATTGTGCATGCGTTTTCTGTGATGGGTGCGAGAGTTGGCAACGAGTCCGGGTACCCACGACTTGACGAAAGCGAGTTTTGGCCAAGCTTTGAATTTGGGCATGGTATAACAGCACGATGATACGGATTCATGTTGCATGCTGCATGGCATCGGCGTTTAGGAAAGTAAGGCAGGGCTGCATATTGGCTTGCTTGGGGAGGGCTAAATGGATGACCCTCTTGTATAATAGCGCCCTATGAGGCGCCGCAGTAGTGGCCGATACGACAGATCGCTGGTCATGAAAAGTAATGCATCACCTACCTTTGATAGTCTTTACCCTGTGATGACTGACGATGGATGACGCACACAGAAAAGCGACCGAGAAAAGAAGGTGCAAATGTACCAATCATACCAGGTCCGTCAAGTGACACCAGTTCATCCACTGCCTGCCGTCGACCGACCACCTTAAGTGCGGCAGATCAACAAGGTCTAACGTAATGATCCATGTCGCATCAGATCTAGGCTTTGGAGTCTGGCCTGCTCATTACCGGGGGCGAAGTGTCGTGCCCTACAATAGTTCCGACCTTCTGGGCTGCTATATTCTTGAGAGAACGGTAATTACCCCGGATCATCAGTCGCAGATGGGACTGTTTCCTCGATCTAGCTAATATTCCACGAGGTGCCTTAGCCATGTGAGTTGGCAGAGGGGGTTGATTTACGTATGGGACTCCCCTTGCAATTGCATGAACACCCAGCGAGCGTGGAGCAATATGGAAATTCGGACCAATCAAAAATAAGTCTGATTGACCACAAGGAAAACTTGGAAGGTGAAAGCGGTCGGCAAATCGGGAGTGGCAGTGGCAGAGCGCAGGAACGAATCCATTGGTGACGCGTGACCGCGACAATAGTTGAATGTCTGGAGTCTGAAGTGGAAAGAGAGCTCGGGCCAGTCATAAGTCACCGCACTTGCCTCGACCTCTGCTTTTGGCAACCAACACCCCCCCTGCTTTCGACGGCTCTTTCTGCTTGGCCCGGTCCCCTTGGGAAGTTGGGTCTTTTCCCCCCCGGCTGGAAAAAAAGAAGCCGTGCACGTTCCACCCCCACCTAACAATGCGTGCAGCGTTCCATAACAAAAAAGCGCGCCTGTCAAAATAGCGCTTCGTTAAGCAACCATGCCAGCCAAAGAGCCCCCCGATTTCCCGGCGAAAAATAGAGGACAATTCCATACCCGTTTTTTCAGAAATAAAGAGCACTCGCCAAATCGGGACTAGCCTACTGATCCCATCAGCGCCTGCCGCACCACACAATCAGTAACCATCCCCCCGGACTTGCAGCACCGCCTTATTTATTCTTTACCCCCCTCAGCTACCTCTTCTTTCCCCCCAATCCCACTCTTCTCTTTTCCCACACCCAACGTATCCATCAACACCAACTTTCAACGTCATCAACGACACGTCTTTCACGAGACGCGCTTATTCCATCCACTCAAGCATCTACTTCAACCTCATTCACAATGACCGGACGTAAGTTGCATCTCCATTTCACCTACTCCACTCTGCTCTTTGTCGCAGTGTCGTGGCGCGTCCTGAGTGTGGCGTAACCCCGCGGTTTAATGGATGAGGATCCGTTGGTATGCATCTCAGCTTTCAGAACGCGTCTCAACCTCATCCATCGCGGATACGCGTCTCATTCAGGTCGCATCACGTCCTCGACACTGGGTCTTTATTCGTTGTCATAGTACTAACATATTCCAGGCGGCAAGGGCGGCAAGGGCCTCGGAAAGGGTGGCGCCAAGCGTCACCGCAAGATTTTGCGTGACAACATTCAGGGTATTACCAAGCCCGCTATCCGCCGTCTCGCTCGTCGTGGTGGTGTCAAGCGTATTTCTGCCAGTAAGTTGACATAACTTCCCTTGACCATGCTCATCCACAGTGGACTAATATGTTTCCCTTCTAGTGATCTACGAAGAGACTCGTGGTGTCCTCAAGTCCTTCCTCGAGGGTGTCATCCGTGACGCCGTCACCTACACTGAGCACGCCAAGCGCAAGACTGTCACCTCCCTGGACGTTGTCTACGCCCTCAAGCGCCAGGGCCGCACCCTGTACGGTTTCGGTGGTTAAGCGTATCACTTCGATGGTCGCTTTGCCTTTTGCGCGGCTCGGATGCCATGGCGCCGTGGTATCCAGGCTGCCTAAAGGCGAGCTTTCGTTGTGGATTCATTGGTCTTTTCAACGGTAATGGGGATATGGATACATCACGTTGATTTATGGCGTTTGGGAATCACGAGACTCTGGGAATGATAGTACTCTCATGGCGTCGATAGGCAGACGCATTGTCTGAAATGGAACACCAACCAATATGGTGATTTGAACACAACATACACACTGAAGCTATTCTGCCGTGATCGATTCGTGACGCGTCTTGTTTACATTTTGTAAAGTGATCCACTATAGCAATGTACATAGTCTAGGCTGCAAGTCGTAAAATATGATTCGCTCGGTCTACCTCGTCCTCCCACACGGTCCCTCACAACATCTAGAGATATTTCCTACCCGCCGCCGCCACCCGTGACCTAAACACGGGACTCTTAACTTCCATATTGACCCTGTAAAACGGGCTCATGATGGCCTTGACCCAGTTCTCGTACACCTCTTGGAAGAAGTTCTTGATGGCCTCCTCGGTCGCGGGGCTGGTGGGGTTGGCGCCGATGGCCGTCGACGAGCGCGAAGACGCCGTGGTGGAGGGCGCGGACGGCTGGTGCAGGAGGAGGAACTTGACGTTGCCCGCCGTGACGAAGCAGGAGACGTAGTTGTTGAAGAACTTGTCTACGATTTTGAGGTACCTGTGTTTGGCGAGGAAAGATGTTAGCATGCTTGCGTGCCATGTAGTTATACGTGTCTCTGCCTAAGCCGTCTTGCGTTGCGAGGGCTGCGAGCGAGGGTGCGAGAGCCCAGGTGGAGGGATTGGTGTTGGGGTGTTTGGGAGTTGAGGTGGGAAATTTTTGTACATTTGTCCTTGCGCCCACTGCACTTCCTCCACGATATCCAGACTGCTGTGCAGGATGAACTGGTTCAGGTGGCGGACCTGCTCGTTGAAGCGCGACTGGCCGTCGCCGCCTTGCTTGGAGGTGCCGAATTCGTATTCGAAGAGGGGGTTGTCTTGCGTGCCGACGATGGCGAAGTAGTACGACATTATTTCGTATGTGTGAGCGCCGCACGCGCGTTCTCTCCCTCTGTCTCTGGTTTCTAGTCTTGCGCTCTTTGATTACAAGAAACTCTCTATCATCGGCGCGACATGCGTGGATGGGCGTGCTTGTGGGAATCTGGCTTTCGAATTGCGATCTTTGGTTCGAGGTCGGGAATACGTATGCGGCTTCACGAGGTGAGAGTATCCGGAATTAGAGCGTCGGGTTTGGTCGTAGAGTACCTAAGGTAGTGCAGTTTTCGCCCTGGATTAAGGGTTTGTCGTCGTAGGGAGCACCGGGGGTTATCTCAAGAATCGCTGGATCTTCGTATCGTGATGTTGCGCTTCCCTCTCACCGAGTTCCCGCTGCAGCAGCACACCTCACCTCCAGCAACAGCTAACAACAAGGCACCTTAGCGTAGGGCCCGCGGGGCGGGCTGGCGGGTCTGCAGGACGACAGGGGAGACTCTCTCTCCCGGGTTAGCACCATGGTCCATGGGAAATTCCGCACGAGCGCGCTGGAGCAGAGAGCCAACCAATTGAGCTCTCCCGATACGTCTCCACTTTTGACCGGCTTTCGTAGCTCCAAAATTTCCCTGGGAAAGCGACTGCATCGAACGGTTTTGTTCGTCAATTGTAGGAGAGAACCCGAAGCTCCTGAGCACCACAAGCGACGACGACTGAACCTTCGACGGACCGCGAGGTAGCACGAGATACGGCTCGTCTAGCAAAGGGATAGCCGCAATACTTGGGACATAGTCCACCCGAAGTCGAGGCGAATCGAACCCGAACAGCCGTCCTCACCACCAACAGAGGAAGCATCACGGCTCGACACGACAATCCACACTCTTCTTCTCCCATCAGTCGATATACACACACGCACACACATCCAAAATGTTCGGAGCCTTCCGCATGACCTCGCCCCTCTCGAGCGGCCTCCTCTGGAAGATCCCGTGGCGGCTCTCCAAGTTCCAGAAGCGCCGCCACCGCGAGCGCCTCCGCGCCGTCGACGACGTGATTGCGACGGTGGACGCCGCGCTGGCCAAGAAGGGCGAGACGGTGGCCGCGCTGGAACGGTGGAAGGCCGAGATGCCGACCGAGGCGGAGATGCTGCCGAGGGACAAATATACCATGTTTGATCGCAAGGAGAAGAAGTACCGCAAGGGCATTCACAGTATGTTCCCCCCTTCGTCTTTTTGAAGCAGTATCGAGTCAATTGGGGTTTGGAGCTGACTATTTCCGCGTGTTTTGCAGAACTTCCCAAGTGGACGAGAGTTTCGCAGAGATTGAACCCGCCGGGTTACTAGATCATCAGAGCCATGTCAGAGGCAATTGGGGCTGGCCAGATGGGCTGCTAGACACCCAGGACGGGCAGAATGGCTTGTTGGGAAATTACGGCCCTTGTACGAATATGTACTCTACGCAACCCGAAGCTGAGGAAGGGGAGAGGATCCAACGGACGGCTGCCGTTGCAGTGAACAGGAGCAGACGAAATAGCTTCTCTGTATATTATAGCATCTGCTTTGGGGCTCATGAGACAAAATCACAATCTGTACAGCTGCACAGGAAGAAGGTGAACGTGATATCAGTCAAACGCGCAAAGTCCTAATCACGCCCCCAAGTTCATATCCTTTCAATGTCCATGATTGTGTCATATCGAGGGTATCGATTCCCAAAAGCCTGCCTAGTAGTTGCAAAAGCGTTGTTTCCCACCACCCAAAAGCAGAGTCTCTCACTCTCTTGTTATCTTTTCCTCCACGCCTAATTTGCTTTGGAGCCGTCCTTTGTCGGACAAAGAGGAATTCCCCAGTCCCAAACATATCTGTACACACACAAACCCGACACTCATCGCGACTCCTCATACTCGCCCATCCGATCATCCCGATCCCTCTGCATCTGAATCGCCCTACCAAGCCCACCACGTCCCTCGTCAAAGTCTTCGCGGTACTCGTCGCGCACCTGTCCACCGCTCTTACCACGACCGTACTGTCTCCCCTCCTCGAAGCCCGGGTCGAGATCGGTGCGGATGACGCGCTCGTCGAGCTTGGTGCCGCCAATGTACTTCATGCAATCGAGGGCGTCCTGGTGGGTGTAGTACTCGACGAAGCAGAAGCCGCAGGGGGTCTTGTTGAAGCGATCGAGGCCCATGACGAGACGCTTGATCTCGCCGCACTTTGAAAAGAGCTCGTAGACCTGCTCCTCGGTGGTGTAGAAGGAGAGGTTGCCGACGTAGAGCGTCGTCGCGTTGGCGAGGGGGTCCTCGGGGAGGGGCTCGTTCTTGGTGGCGGCCTCATCTTCGGCGTCGCGGGCTTCGCGGGCGGCGTCGCGGTTGTCGTTTCTCCTGCGCTTGTTCTGTGAGGTTTTCAGATTAGCTGCTGCTGTTTTGAGAGTTTGCTTGTTTCCTTGCTTGAACAGTTGGAAGGACAGAAGGCTGGACGGAAGCTGTAGCTGATTCTCACCCGGTTGTGGTAGTATGCGCTCGGCCTGTCGAGGCGCTCTACTGTGTTTCTGTGCCGAACCTGCATTCTGAAGGCGTTGGGGGTTTGCGGGGGAGGACAATTGGTTCGTTGTCGGTCGTGTAAGTGGGAATTGAAGGTCGAAGGCCTAGAGAAACGGCACTTGCCTGGTTGCAGATCAAATCGAAAGGTACCAAGGTACCTCAGGCAGGTGCACCTTAAAGGGAAGTTGATGGTCTGTGCGCAGCATTCACATCACGTCGTTGCTTTAACATTACTTGGTCATTTCAATTGACAGGCTTTCTAAGAGAGAAGCTGCTCTATCCGGTCATGATTTTTGACCTTAGCTTCAATTTAAAAGCGTCAATCGCTCCAGCAGAAGTTATTTAGGCAGAAGACCAGTACATGACTTCAGCTTCTGGACCTCCACAAAGCATCCGCTGTTATGGGCTCTCAACTATCATATTCATGAAAACATTCGGTTGGTCACCATATCTCGTTTTGACAGACTCTAGGTCACCATTTTCTCATTGGCAAGTCCATATAGTTAGTTGTCTATCTCAGGCGGCGATCTAGATACCTTCCCTCAGGTATGGGTGAAGACTTACATGGTCCGTTGTCCAGTCGATCTGATTGGCGCGGCGTAGATGCAGGGCCGCAGGCAGCGCCGGGAAAGCTCAAAGTGGGTCTCGGTGTGGCTGCTACCAGCAACCGCGTTTTTTGACCAAGAGTAATTCTAGCTACGAGCTCACCTAGCAAATACCGCCGAAAAAAAGCCCACGAACGACACTCGAGCTCTATTTGATCTGCAGCACCCATCCGACCATCCGAAAGCCTGCAGAGAACCTCTGAAACATAAGTCGTTCGATTGAGAGGGACGCGATGCCCAAGGTCAAGAGCTATACGGCCCCGTGGCTGTCGCATGGCCCTGGTCACAGCTTGTTCGCGCCCTCCAGCGACGCCTCCAACAAGGCGTTGAGCGCCCCGTCGCCCTATGGATCCAAGAAGAAGAAGATCCAAGGTCCGAGGCGGACGATTGCGAGACGAGGAACCGAGGTCTTTGTCGCTGTAGGCAAGGAATTGCGATGGGGCGATTTGGCATACCTGAAGGAGAAATGGTCGACAAAGTATGCGCACCGTCGCATGGGCAGCCGTGTCAAGCGGGAGGACTCGACACAATCAATTGACGATGATGCCATTCCCTCGACGGAAGAGGCGGCTACGGCTCAGGGCTTCAGGGTAGGTTTGGTCCTCAACAGGGCGAGTGACTAGGATGCTAACAAGCCTCGCAGACTATCAAGACATCTGTCGCGGACGACATCCGGCAGCTCGTCATCTCCCCAAACTCCGATTACCTCGCGATTCTTACGGCGCATACCGTTCACATTTGCGTCGTTCCCGATTCCGCGCATCTCACGGCCGAGGACACTGGACCACTGCGACCTAAGATTTGGACACTGGGCCCTACAACTCACGTCACCTCACGATCCCCAGTTGCATCAGCTGTATGGCACCCACTTGGCGTCAAGGGCTCTTGCCTTGTCACCATAACTACTGATGCTATTGTGCGCGTCTGGGAGTTGTCACTGACCGATAGGTGGTCATTTGACTCTCCCACACTATCTATCGACTTGAAGAAGCTGGTAGATGGTACGACGCTGGACCAGGACTTCAGCGCATCCACGGCTGCTACAAATGCTAGCTTCTCGCAGTACTCCCTGGAGATGCAGGTGGCCTCTGCTTGCTTTGCTGGCCGCGGCTCAGGAGGATGGAGCCCTATGACTCTCTGGGTTGCGATGAGAGAAGGCGACGTCTACGCATTGAGCCCCTTGCTACCCCAGAAATGGGCACCGCCTCCTACTCTTATCCCATCGCTTTCGGTTTCCATCGTATCCAAGGTGGCTGCTCTGGAGGATGATCCTGCTGTATCCGAAATGGACAAGCTCCTCGCTCAGCAGCAGCTCGAGTGGATGGGTGATCTGGATTCCCAAGAGCCCCAAATCCTCGACACAGCGCCGGGCGAAGAGACGGTGGAGGTCTATACACGCCCTTCCCGGCCGGGAGTTATCCCAAGATTGCAAGGCCCGTTCGAATTCGATGCCGATCCCGAAAGCGAAGATGTCGGGGACGGCCTTCTAACGGATTTGCTCGTAATCGGGAAAAGGGTGGACACTGACGACCTGATGATGGGCGAGGATGAGGACCTCGACTTTGACGAAGGTGACCAGGAGGGTCTTTCCCTCTCAGTCATCTGCCTCCTGTCTACCACCGGTCAGGTCCGCGTATACTTGGACTTGGAGGGCGTCGAAGCACAATGGTTGCCCCCGCGAAACAAATCCAAGCTCGGACGCCTCTTGTCCGCTGCCGACCCACCTTCACTGTTGACGTTCCAGTGCATCGACACCATGGCCACAACTGAAATGAACGACGACGCATGGCCGACGTTTTCATCGGATGTCATGTCACGCTACTCTCTTTTTGTCACTTCGCACGCCGGCGTCACCTTCCTTTCTCTATCTCCCTGGGTTTTCCGCCTCGAGGGTGAGCTCTCGG